TAGTGAGAATGAATCATCCAAAAATTGTCTAACATCGATATGTTTCAAATTTATGATAACTCCAGACCGTATTCGTCTATTGAAAGCCGACTGAATATCTTCCCATCTGATTCTCTCATTTCGTCTACGATTATTTGTGACACCACGACCGACAAATATCAATTTTTTGAATCGTTTCAAATGTCCAATGTTGGTTTGTAGTTTCCTCAAAGAAGATACATTCATGTCACCATCTCGAACAGCTTTATTGAATAGTCTCAAATTTTTATTGTATAGTTTGATCCATCTTTCTCTGATAGGTATGCTAGTACTATCCGAAATTTCCTTAAGAGCTCTGAGGAATAATTTGATAATCTCATCGCTATGCTTCGCAATATCACAATGTTCCATGATACTTCACCTTTCGACAATACACTAACAATGATAATAAAAAGGGCCGATATTGTCTTAAATATATCTTTCACAAATTTGATTTTTAACTTTTTTTTTCTTGGGCTCTGGACTATCTCGCAATGTTTCTCTACAATACAAATCTTTACTACTACCAATCCTATCATAAGGATTATTTTTGGATGGCTCAGACACAGTTGTGTGAAAGTTATGTAATTGTATCGATTTCTTACAAAAACAAAAATACTTCTTACAGTCTAGGCAGAATTGGGTATTCATATTAAAACTCACTCAATGTTTTTCACCAACTCGAAACTATAGGCGTCCTTCGATTTCCCAACGTCCTTCTGGCCTTTATACACCAGAGCGTATTTCTTTGGTGTGAATTCTTCCTCTTTTCCTTCCACCAAGTCGGTCACTCTTTGCGGAAGAAAGACTACAAAATCTTCCAGTTCCGCCAGGATACACTTCCCAAATCGTGTTTTCACAACCTTAATACTAATTATCGGTATCTTCTTATCAACTGGAAGATCAGACAGCTTCACGGTCTCCTTCCTTACCAAAGAAGCCTCTTTGTTTATAGCTGTAAGATCCATCTAAAATTATGATTCATTCTTCGACTTTCTCAATCAAAAACCCAAAATATCTATCAACTCACTTTTGTTTAGGATGTTTCACTTTTCACAATATATAAGTTTCGACACGAGAATATTTCACAATGCTCATCTACCCAACGCTATTCTTTTTATATCAATCTTCCCACTTCAAACTGTATCCCCACCTTGGAATAAAACTCACTTGTTTACCCAACATGAATAATGGTAGGATGATATCATCAGATTTATTTTCATTGAATTATATGTGACATCACTTGTTTACTATGAGTGGTGATGCATCAGCTATTGATGATGACAAATACATTATTTCATTTCGCATTTCATCATAACACAGGCAATCAAACAATTTCGGATGACCAAACACCTAAAACATTTTTAAAATTGTAGGAATTTTTAAATTCACATGTTCTATATTCTATACAATCTTTTTTGCATTTGAAACAATGAATATGTGCAAATGCATGAATATGTTTATTATTACAGAACAATGATGCTGAGTATTTTTTCATTTCCGAAACCAAATCTGTACGGGAATAACAAGACGGGCACAAGATGAAATGTTTTCCATTAACTGGATTGAACAAATGATAATACTTGTTGCAGCTCGCATATTTAGTATGACACATATTCTCGTTGATGAAATTATCCAACGGATAATTCTTCTCAGGAATCTGGTAGGGTTCTCCACGTGAAGGAAAACTCAGCTTTATCTCAACATCTTTTCCACCATCGAACTCTTCATCATTTATAATTTCTCCATTACGCGTAATTGGGATCACGCAATGATATTCATCCACAAAGTCATATGACTGACCTGACATACTACTGATGGCACTATCTTCAAATTCAGACATAATGATACGTAACTGAAGGGGATTACAACAGAACTGATGAAAAAATACATTTTTTCATGATTTTTATACATTTTTGGAAACCATTACTGTCCACCCTATAATCGAAATTTGCACCGGTAGATTGTGCATAGTGTCATGGTATTATCGATGAGATCATTAGTGCTCGATAAACAAACTTATTGTTGTTGTTGCGATGAGATCATTGAGGCGTGGAAACGACGGATAATTTGTTATTGTTCTCTGCATAGTGACCATGGTATTATGTTAATCGATGATCGAGCGTGATAAACAAACACACCTAGAAAATTATTATTGAATTCATTACACTGATGAGATCATGGCATAGGAAACGTAAACAGGGTGATTTCTAACTCAAAATAATATCAGCCCAAATTACCAAAAATCTGAGGACCAGGTACACTGAAAAACATTCCGAGGTATGCGTGACGTCAGGGTTCTTCAGTTTACCTACCAGAAGGTCTGCAACGTCTTCAGCTGCACATGGAAGAACTTGATGGCCGTTTGAGTTAGAAAGAGCATAGAGCCTTTTTGATTTCGTAATCTCGTGATTACTCTACTTCCAAGTATCTGACCGCGAACTACAAACTGCGCTCGAAAAACTCATCCTCCTTGATACGGATTTGCAAGCGCATATACGTTGGTAGCTGAACGTTTCCATCAATGGTGCATTGGAATTTGATGCCGCTGTAGCACTTCTAAGTGAGGATACTCATAATGCCAAAATAAGATCAAAACTTGTTGAATGTCCTAACGGATCCCGTTCATTTAGGTCCTTCGCCAAAGCTGTAGGAAGAAACTTCACTTCCAGCTCGTTTCCTCCTCTAACCAAGGAAGATGGAACACTAGCCACAACTGCCCAGGAGGAAGCCAACATTTTTGCTCATTCATTTTCTGGAAATTACACTCTGGATTCATCGGGAAAACAACCTCCGAACATAACGCCAATAATTGACAGTCATATTCCCGAGATCACCTTTCGCCAACGTACTATAAGAAAGATTTTATTGGGTCTCAACACCAACAAAGCTTGTGGCTCCGACGGAATCCCACCGATTGTTCTCAAGAAGTGCTCATCCCGAACTAACACCTGTTCTCTGCAAGTTGTTCAACTACTCTTACAAATTGGGGATATTCCTGTCCAACTGGAGAATTGCAAGAGTACAACTAGTTCCTAAAAAAGGCAAAAAGAGCCTACCTAGCAACTACAGACCGATCGCACTGCTATCTATCATCTCAGAGATCATGAAGAAAGCTATCAGCTCATGAAATACCTGGTACATTCAGGTATTATCGACGATAGGCAATATGGCTTCCGTCATCAGAGATCAACTGGTGACCTGCTCGCTTAAGTCTCACATATACGGCAGCAATCTATTGAAAAATATGGTGAAACCTTAGCCGTGGCACTTGATATCTCCAAGGCTTTCGTTCGAGTCTGGCACCACGTACTCCCCGCCAAGCTTCCATCTTATGGCTTGCCTCCCCAGCTATGTTCTCTGCTAGCATAGATCTAAATATACACATTTAGATCTATGCTGCTTAGCTAGTTTTCTCTCAAACAGGTCAGATCAATTCTAGCACCAACACTATCTCTACTCCATATCAACGATTTGTTGGAAGCAACTTTATATCCAGTACACAGCTTCGCGGATAATAGTACCCTTCACACCGCCTTCTCTCCCAGGGCTCCAATACCACCCAGGCATATCAGAAACGAACGAGGAAGAAATGTTGACAACATAAATATGAACTTGGCGAATGAGGATCCAATAACTTAGTAGATCCCAATGCAAACAAAACACAAGCATGCCTTTTCTCTAGAAAAGCCGATCTCACTGTGTCCCCAACATAAGATTTTCAGGAGGCAGGAGGCATCGCAAAAACTTGGTTTTCTGTTTCTGGCCAGGTGCTATTTCACTTCCAGTCAGCTGCTTATGATCTATAAGGCACAGATCCGACCTGCCCTGGAATACTGTTCCCTTATTTGGAGTGCAGCACCCAAACATACCCTGAAACTGTTGGATTCTGTCCAAAAAAGGGCAATTCGTCTCGTGGGTAATGCCTCGCTCACAAACTCACTCACTTCCCTAGAACACGGTAGAAAAGTTGGCGATCTTGCTCTATTTTATTGATATTTTCATGGACGAAAATATCAACAATTGTTATATCAACAATCGTTCTTCCCTTGGCAGTCTCCGGGAGATTAACTCGTCGAGTTGAGGCTTCGCACTCGTTCGTGGTCATTTTGGAGACCTGCAGATTATCTCTTTCCAAAGACTCGTTCATCCAACGAACAGAGAGGCTCTGAAATACATTGCCAAGGGAGGTGTTTCCCGAAGCAAATAACCTCCAGAAATTTAAGGAGAACACCAATTCCTACTTTATTTTCCTTTTTCCTTGGTTCTCACGATGTTTTCTGAACATTACAGGATATCCCTTTTCGGTGAGAACCAGAAAATAAAAAAAAGGTGTGCGTTACAAATGCTGGGCCGATGGTTGGTGTTATCTGGGTTGTTACAGTATCTCCCGGTATATAATGAATCACCGGTACATGTCATCGGCGCCAGCACTGGTTTCGATGACGTAATAAGTTCTAAACGGTTGATACACTACATGACTACACTGTTAGAAGTAGAAGTGGAGTAAACGTAGAGAAAGGTGGAATAGGATGGAGTGAAGTTGAGAAAATCCAATTGGTTATACCAGATTGTCCAGAAGAGGTGAATGAATTTCCCAGATGAAGTTACTTTGCGAACGAAGAGTACCTATAAGTACCTGCATTTATTGAAGAGAACAATAAGAACTCTTTTTTCTGCAATCGGCTCAAAAGTCGTCCAATCTTGTTACATAATTAGCTCTTGAAGTTGACGTTTCTCTTACTGACACAATAAAATGATTAGTATGTAAGTTGCTAGACAACACTTCCAGTGTCTAGGAGCTCTCCTAAGAACTAAAAACGTGTCGGATGACAGCTGATATGAATACTGCTTTGACACTGACATACTCAAGTGACACAAAATGTTCCTAATATAACAATGTAGTACTTTTCCAAGAACCAAATATGGAGTAGATAATCACCAACAATGCATTAGATTCATCTTGCACATAATGAACTTACTGTTTCATATGTATCATGAGGTTGATTGGATTTTTTTCTGTCTGCACGTCGGACTTGTCCAGGAACAACAAGAAATTATGATTAGTTAGAATCAGATCTTGCAGGTACTGTCTACTTTGTATATTGGGATTATATTGTCTCAGCAGTAGTATAAATAACATTTTGATGTCCTGCGTTTGCACTATTTGTCTCCGCAACGTCTCCAAGTGATTTCTGTCGTTGTCGCTGAGGTGGATCATTTTTTGGTAAGCTTCGATTCCTTGGAGGAACTCCCTTAGCGCGGTTACAACCTGCAATAAATTCGGATATTGAGTCATAAATAGGAAACCATTTTTTTTTGGAAAAATACCAAGATTGAGCGCATATTTTCGATAGGAAAATAAAGCAACACTTTAATTGGTTATTGATATTTAGTTGAAAGGTGAGGCATGTTTTTGAGGAGGATGTAGATTTCACCACAAAATATCGCCTCAATGAAAGTTGCATAATAACGAAGATATCATCGATAATTGAACATTCCATGAGTTTTATCACGGTCTTGGCCATACGAATCTATATTGCCGCACTTTCGAGGACAGCCTGTATAGTTATTGTAGTTGATTTGTTACCTATTCCGTTTCTTTTTACAATCAGGTCATTGTATGACCTGTTTCTGTGTGTTCTACTTATGTGTTTAGCTGATCAGTTTTTCTTACCAAATAATGGATTTATACAATACGTGTAGAAGCCCAAATGGTTCCAATATTTTTGACGTATAAATTATGAACAATAAAGGTCCAATTATGGTGTCTTGTGGTATACCTGTTGTGTTTATATCAACATAGCTACCCATACTGTCTACCGTTCGATAGGATTCCTTGTTTTCCTCCACCGAAATACGATTAAATTAATGGAAATACACTTTTTGCCACCGATGACGCTGTGGACTAGTTCAGTGCCATTGATGAATAATCTATTGCTCTCTTTCGTCGCTTACAAATGGACATGTTTGAATTAGGTTCCGTTGTGTCGTTTGTTTACATGACAAAATTAGGAATCACAATATTAATTTCTCTGAATACTTTATCTCCGAAGGCATGGCGATTTAATTAAATGGAGGCACTCACCAAATGTAACCGTCTCAAACATGGCCGCAAATCGACATCTTCCATCGAACAACTAATTTCGAACTCCTCGTAGATGCACACCCCTTGGAAAACGAGATAGGACAGAATATCCCACGTCAGGACCGGGCTGATGTGCTCGGGGTCCAGCTCCAGCTGGATGGCGAACTTCAGGAAGTACGTGACCAGCCAGAGGAAGTGGGAGGTGTCCATTTGAACGTGGACGTTGGACAGCAGGTGAGAGTGTAGATCGTTGACCAGGTTGCCGTAGCCTTTCAGCAGGAAGTCTACGGTGAACTCTTTCAGTATGTTGGAGATATCGTCCTCGGTGGGCGAGTGGTGCAATAGACCTTTCATGTTGATGCTGGAAATGAACATATTGTTTGCCCAGTCATCACACATATAGAATGTAAAGCAAGAGAGACTGAATCGCGGCTATCGTGCGTCTCCGCCAATGTTGTCAGGTCCATATAATGATATAAGCAGTATAGTCTTGACATAAAAAAGCAGTCGACTCAAGCGGGAGATTGAAACAGTCATAATCTTCTCCTGAAGATGCTAACAGTCGAAAATGGAACTTCAGGAAGTACGTGACCAGTCAGAAAAAGTGGGAGGTGTCCATTTGAACGTGGACGTTGGACAGCAGGTGAGAGTGTAGATCGTTGACCAGGTTGCCGTAGCCTTTCAGCAGGAAGTCTACGGTGAACTCTTTCAGTATGTTGGAGATATCGTCCTCGGTGGGCGAGTGGTGCAATAGACCTTTCATGTTGATGCTGGAAATGAACATATTGTTCGCCCAGTCATCACACATATAGAATGTAAATGGCAACATAGCAAGAGAGACTGAATCGCGGCTATCGTGCGTCTCCGCCAGTGTTGTCAGGTCCATAATGATATAAGCAGTATAGTATTGATATAAAAAAGCACTGGACTCAAGCGGGAGATTGAAACAGTCATAATCTTCTCCTGAAGATGCTAACAGTTGAAAATGGTACTTCAGGAAGTACGTGACCAGCCAGAAGAAATGGGAGGTGTCCATTTGGATGTGGACGTTGGACAGCAGGTGAGAGTGAAGATCGTTGACCAGGTTGCCGTAGCCTTTCAGTATGTTGGAGATATCGTCCTCGGTGGGTGAGTGGCGCAACAAACCTTTCATGTTGATGCTGGAAATATACAGATTGTTTGCTCAGGCGTTTGACACAGAGTATGTATGTATATGGCAACATAGCAAGAGAGACTGGTTCGCGGTTATCGTGCGTCTCCGCCAGTGTTGCTAGGTTGAGAATGAGATAAGCAGGTTACAATCTTCTTCTGAAGATGCTTACATAGTTGGAAATGGAACTTCAGGGAGTACGTGACTAGCCAGAGGAAGTGGAAGGTGTCCATTTGGACGTGGACGTTGGACAGCAGGTGAGAGTGAAGATCGTTGACCAGGTTGCCGTAGCCTTTCAGCAGGAAGTCTACGGTGAACTCTTTCAGTATGTTGGCGATATCGTCCTCGGTGGGTGAGTGGTGCAACAAACCTTTCATGTTGATGCTGATGGAAATATACAGATTGTTTGCTCAGGCGTTACACACAGAGCATGTGAATGGCAACATAGCAAGACAGACTGGTTCACGGCTATCGTGCGTCTCCGCCAGTGTTGTCAGGTTAAGAATGAGATAATCAGTATAGTCTTGACATGAAAAAGCGATAGATTCAAGCGGGAGATTGGAACAGTTACAATCTTCTCCTGAAGATGCTAACATAGTTGAAAATAGAACTTCAGGAAGTACGTGACCATCCAGAAGAAGAGGGAGGTGTTCATTTGAACGTGGGCGTTGAACAGGAGGTGAGGGTGAAGATCGTTGACCAGGTTGCCGTAACCTTTCAGCAGGAAGTCTACGGTGAACTCTCTCAGTATGTTGGCGTGGGCGAGTGGTGCAACAGACCTTTCATGTTGATGCTGGAAATAAACATATTATTGTTTGCACAGTCGTTACACATAGAGCAGGTAAATTGCAACATAGCAAGAGAGACTGGTTCGCGGCTATCGTGCGTCTCTGCCAGTGTTGTCAGGTCAAGAATGAGATAAGCGGTAGAGTCTTCACATAGAAAAATCGGTAGATTCAAGTGGAGGATTGAAACTGTTTCAATCTGCAACTGAAGATGCTAGCATGGTTGGAGATGGAACTTCAGGAAGTACGTGACGGAGTTTTGGAAGTTGAAACTTTATACATAAAGTTGCAAAGATTATAATCTGTACGATTTTTTATTGTCAACCAGTTCAGTTCTATGATTTTGCTGGAGACATGATCATATTTTCTTAATGAGTAGACCATTCTACAACAGAAGTTCTGTACTTTCTGTTTCTGATTCAGATCAAATTTATTCAAAAGATTGCTGTACACAATATCACCATAGTTGAACCGTGATAAGACCAATAAGATTCTGTCAGAAGTTTCCTAATCGATTGTCTGGAATAATGCCTATTTGGGTAAATGAGTTCAAGAGTACCAAACGATTTTTTGAGCAAATCATATGGAGTAGGTTGGTACAATGTTGCATGTAGCCAAAATTGATCCTTGTGGAACGCCGGAATGGATGGCGATGGTATCAAGAGATACTCCGTCCGCCATAAATAATTGGACCCTGAGCTGAAAGAATGTTGCTTATTAGTTGAGGTAGGATTCAAGTGAAAATAATCATTTTTTCCTCATGTTTCCTGGACGTGTTTTTTAATGTGCAGCTAACTTTATGGATGAGATAATCACTGTTGGTCCGAAAGTACAATTTTTGGTTTAATTGAAAATGCTTTTTCTTCAAGATCTTCGGGGGGCATAATGTTCAGTCGCTCTAAAATGCGTATCTTCGGAAGACTAAAACTGCGTTTCAATCTCCTTAAATGCTCACAGCGAAACACGTGTCGAGGCTTCTAAAAAATCGGTTTGATTAGTGGTAAAACAGTGTAGTGTGGTATAAAATTCATATTACCCTCCCCTGAAAGGACTAGTTATGTTGAACAAACCGTCATTGTGTTTGGTAGTGGAAATCCACTGAAAAGTATCAAATTCAGTGAAGTGAATCGAATTGCTCGCTTGATGAGTAGGAAGCTTTCATTTGGCGAAATTAATGACCGCACTTATTGTGAGTACACAAACTATCACCCACTACAAGACACCCGCTGCTCCTTCATTTTATTCGAATCGTCGAGACGAATAACTGGAGGATAATAATAATTTTACCCAACTGAAGTGACAGGTAACTATGTAGTAGTCTGGTGCCACCTATTCGCAGTGAGAATTCGAACAACTAGAACCTCTCCTTCTTTTGGACATGGTCACTATATGTAACTCCTTCAGGTGGATGTATTAACTTGGACATATTACAACAGTTCACTCACTTGTTACTCTTTCTTCTTTTCACCAACTTCTTCCGTCTGAGCTCTTTCTTCTCCAAAGTGGTTGCAGCTCGGTTCTTGTTGCTGTACCTGGTTTTTTGGAAGGTGTGCGGTTTCTGATGGACCGGTTTCTCGCACGGCAGATCGTCCTCGTTGCTAGAGGTTGATATGGATTCTTGGTTCTCCAATTGAGTAACATAACCACAGTCAGAAATCTCGCTGCGTATGGATAAACCCACGGAACTCTTCCTGCTTTGCGGCACTGATGACTGGGATTGGCTGCCATTGGACTGGAAATAAATGAAGAACGTTCATATTATTCCAGATACTTTGGGATTTGGGGTAGCATTCTGTCCTGAGGTGTATATACTGTTATTTATGCTGGCGAAAACACAAACATCTCGTTTTCAGTTTTCAGTGAATTGGTGACATTGAAAATCAAATGACTCACAGGATGTTTTCATAAATCAATCTTGAATTTACCATTTTCAGATTTCAGTCGTGAATACCATATTCTATCTATATGCTTACTGAAGATGGACAAAATATGACAGAGTGGCAGCATACGACACATATGGTAGCAAAGTAGATTGCCTGCCTTAGCTGGATTCCTCTAGCCTCGGCTACACCTTATTGGCCATATAATTTTCTCTCCAGATCCTCTTCAATTTCACGCAAAGTCCAAATAATCCATCATTTTGTATTCATCCAGTCATTGTCAATTGTGATTACCAATCTGATTCAAATGAGTACTTGGAATGTTGCATGATGACAACATACTTTTTCTGCATATGGGCAGTACTTTTTCTGCCTGGGCAGTGGAAATAGAAAAAGCAATTTTTAATGTCATATGGAGAAAAGGTTTTTCGCACCGCACCAATACAAACCCATCAATTATTGATTTTGAAAAAGTACCCACCTCGGCACTTGGACTCATGGAGAAGATCCCACTGCTACTCGTCGTTTCGGTCTCAGTACTCTCGTTTCTAGTGATCGCTATCGCAGATTTGCATTTATTCTGAACAGCTCTGATCACCTCTGTCGTGTTGATGATTTTATTCCAGTCTGGGCTAACATTCACCTATAATGGAACATATAATGAATTTACTAGTGCATCAACTGAACAGCAATTTCGTGGAACAGAGCATAGTCCGCAGGGAATGTGTGTGAATAAATTTGTGATAGTTCTGATAAAATTTGTCAGTTTCATATAAAATAATGCATTCAATTATGTCAGTTTCAATCCGTGAGCTGAGTATGAGTGATTACAATATCTAGTATCATATGTTCTTTTTTCAAAATCAAATGTTAATTTTTGAAGATGCGTACTGAATATTTATGTTCTTCATGAGAGGGGAAAGTGGGGAGGAGAGAGGAGAGAGAGGAGAGGAGAGAGGAGAGAGAGGAGAGAGAGGAGAGAGAGGAGAGAGAGGAGAGAGAGGAGAGAGAGGAGAGAGAGAGGAGAGAGAGGAGAGAGTAGAGAGGAGATTAGACATAGTAAGGAGAATGAGGAGAATAAAGATAGTAGAGGCAGTAGTAAAAATAATAAAAATGAAAGATATTTCAACGAAAGAGTATAAAGATATTATAGAGAGTGGATAGTAGATGTAGGAAGAGGTAGAGAGAGGAGAGAAATACTCTGGAAACAAAGTCAGCAATCTGATTGAAACGTTAAATTTTTTATATACAGGGTTCGCCAATGAAACAAGACGAGTTGTGGTGGCGCTTGCAGTGTACTACAAAGTGATGGGGCTGGAAGTCGCTTGCCTGCCAGGACCCGCATAGCTTACCATTTATTTACAATGAATCATTAGACGGGTGAGCTACGCGGCTACACAGTTGAAGCCTACTATCAAAAGGTAGTACGAAAACAATTCGAATCTCTGAAAATATCGAACGTGTTCGGCAAGAGATATCAACAAGTCCTCTCCGAACCCAGGGCGTATCGTTTCATTGAACTTTCTTTCTACCTAAAAACGAAGGTGAATCCGTTTTGAACACCTTTGGTTTTGGGTATCCTCACAAAAATAAATCGCAGGCAGAGAGGTCGGAATCGAGGAGATAACTGATGATAATTCAGTTTGGAGAGACGATACGCCCTGTGTTTGGCGACGACCTCTTGATATCGCTTGTTGAACATGTACGATATTTTCAGGGGTTCCAGCTGTTTTGGCATGGCATTAAGATAGTGGGCTTCAAATAATTATCAGAGATAACAAATGAGACTTCTTTTTCCGAACAATTCAACCTGACACGGCCTAAATGAACCTTTCCCAGCAAACATCAAATCTCTGGCCGCCTTCTGGCCCAGTACATGATAGATCGGCCATGGCCAAGCTGCACTGGTCAAACGTCGGCCCATTGTATGGCATATTATAATCGTTTGCCTATAATGCAGCCGGCACTGGGCCAATAGTGTAAACTCGTATTATGTTTATACCTACGCCTAGTCGGCACCGTACGAACGGCAGTGGTTGAGGCGCTCGACTAGTAATCAGAACATCGAACGGTTGTTAGGTTCGAATCCCCAGAAGAGCAAATGATGTTTATATATAAAACGAGTTATGCATTATAATGTTCGTAGCCTTTTGGCCGGAGATGATTCCGCAGGTTTACCAGTGCTGCTCCTAGAGCAGAGTAGTTGAGAGAAAAGAGAGAGCAGAAAAATATCTTGACAAATATGTTAGCACACTTGATTGAAATGTGCACATAGCGACATTTTTGTGTGGTACTAACCATGTTGTTGTTGTTGTTGTTGTTGTTGTTGCCGGTGTTGTGCGTGTTCCTGCAATTGCCGCCGTTGTCGCTGGAATCAGAAGTGGGATCCGATGTGACGACGGGGGAGGAATCGTTGCTGCCTTGCTCTGGCGGCGAGGTGTTGCTCTCGTTGTCCTCCGAGCTGTCGCTGTAATACCCCTCGAGCCAGAGGTTGAGCAGCTTCTGCAGCGTGCCCTCGTGCTGGTCCTTGTACATCAGGGCGATCAGCTGGACCACGGTGATGCTCCAGCACGTCTACATAGACGAAACGGTTTATAGAAACTTTTTTTTTCATGTTCTGTTCTGTTATTGTGACTCAGGGGGTTGGTGGGAGTATTTCAAGAGTCATTTTATTTTCCACTCTATATATATATCATATGAACAGTTATGAACCATTCGTGATATGTACCTATCTCATTTTGAACATGAGTTACATCAATTCTAAGGTTTCAAATTGTCATCACCCTATATATGGCAAACCGGACTATGTATCAGAGGAAATCATATGAATTCTCATGTTGATGATCAAGATGAGGAAATCATATGAATCCTCATGTTGATGATCAAGATCCATAGTGTGTGAAATAATTGGCCGTTTCTAGCCGTTTGTTTTCAAGTTTTCAGTGATTGAGTGAAAATCGAAATTCTGATATTTTCAATATTTGCCTATTCCCATGAATTTCACCGTCATGAGGGAATGCAATACCCTGTATGTATCTACTTGAATAGAGGGATTCATGAGGTAGAAATTAGACGTGGAGCGTTTTATTTCTACTTTAGATTTCTCACGATTTTGAGCACATAATTCAAATCGATGCAAAATATTCTGAACAGCCAAAATCAAATGATTGACACCCTGTAGCTCGAAAACTGGTCATAGGATCGATCTGTAAATTGAACTGTGTAGTAAGGACGCTAATATCTGGAACATACCAAATTTTCATTGAATGTGCGGGGTTCTTTGGTTTTGAACTTCGGAAATTTAGCAAGATTCTCCCACGCCTCGCAATTTTTACGAAGTAGGCGATATCATAGACTACAGAAGATAATCTATGGCGATATCGAGATATTCCGAAACTCCTAGGAAGTGAAAACACCATTTGACATTCTATACATCTATGTCCTAACCTTTCGTGGACACGACAACAAATAAATGATGATCTTGTCGACGCTCTGCGTGAAGAGGTTCCACAGGATCTGATTCTGCAGGCCGACCGCGCTTCCCGAGCCCTGAGCTCGGCCCTCCGGGATGTGCAGCACGTTCCTCAGCAGCAGCAGGCAGTCGTTGACACTGTCGCAGTCCTCGGCAGACATCGGGGACTTCCGCTCGATGATGCTCTTCATGTGGTCTACAACGGCCTTGGTGCTCCTGCTGTCCGCGAATGCCTCCTTGCTGGCGCTCAGAACTTTGCTGAGCTCGCAGATGGTGCGTTTACCGACCTAGATCGGAAACCGAATGAGTTATACAGGGTATATATCTATCTCACTGTGGATGGAACATTCAACTGTGTATAGTTCATCTGAGCTGGTCAACATTGATAATGTTGTGGTCCGAAATATAGCCTGAATTCAAAGTAGTATAACTCACGAATTTCCTTCCCAATTTGAAATCGGTTTTCACCGATGATTTGCCTAATCTCTTGACAGGTTGTTGTGACAATATAAAACTTCTCTAATTTCAGATAACATTGCTACATGGTGATAATTGAATGGGTGTAAAATTGCATCGTGGTCGTCACATTACCGTTTGAACAGAACATTTTTTAAATTTTTTTTCTCACCTGAATCCTCTAGATTGATGCTTTCTCTCTAAATGTTTTCGGAATTTTCGAATTCAGAGCTTTGATAATCGTGTTATGAATATTCATTCAAAATGATGCATTTTTTCGACGATTAATTGAATGAAATTGGAAGATGAAATTTTTTTTCGAAGAATCAACGTTGTAAGTATAGTCGTCGGATATGTGATCGTGTTCGAACACAGAAAATTCCGAAGTAGTCTATACAAAGTAGTACAAGAAATAATGAATGATGGAATGGAGAATAACGTTGTCTTCAGTAGATGAAACATAATTTTCTCTGTGTTACTTGTGGAATTATGGAGTGTTACTTCGTCATGAGGATATGTCTGGTGTCTGACCTCGAAAGGGTTATGTAATTTCTCGGATCGAAGGTCATATAATAATGGAGGTACGCATTTTTAATCAAAATGATGCATTTTCGTTGAGATACATTATAAAATCGAAAAAAATTACGATTGTAGTTCCAGAAGTATGAAATTTATACTTATTCTTGACCGGCCTCGTTTGACAAATTTCCCATCTCATATCGTATATGAGTCTTCACGATACTAGTGTCGTAAATATCAATTATTGCTCCATTGATCTGGTAAGGGCAGTTGTGAAAACAATTTGGAAACAATATGAACTGATTAAACTTGTGTGGAGAGTATTTTTTTATTTTCATAAATGTTGATCGATAGCTCATCATTGATGATTTGGTTTCCTAAAATATCAATCTTCAAACGACCAATTCACTCTATGAGAAATGGTTGTTGACAACCTTCACTTCAAAATTTGAAATTTCTTTAGCGCCATCGATTGTGCCGCCATTTTCTCGCAAAACAGTATCATTAATAGACATTGAAAACAACATCGGACCCAGATGCGAACCCCGCGGCACTCCCGCAAACTACACCCACCTCGGTGTGAGAGGACGCTTCTATCGACCCCATGTGGTACTCGAGCGGTACGGTGAGGTTCACCAGGATCCTGACGGCGGCTTCCACGATTCGCGCGGCGTCTAGGACGTCGGCGTCGTCTCTGACGCGCACCAGCAGCGGAAGTAGGACCTTGGAGACGTTCTCGCCGGCGCCAAGGGCCCGCTTGAAAGGCCATGAGGTGCAGTCGTCGGCGGAAAGGTCTCTGAGGATGTCCTCCAGGAGCGCTGGAAATCCGAAAAACTGGTGAATTCATGACCACTTGCTTGAACAATGAAGAGAAAGGTCCCCGCACTAAACTATAGGGGAAATGGCTCTCGATGAAAATCGCTGAATGTTTATTTTATTTTATTTTATGTACTTCTTACAAACACCCCGAAGGGGTAATTACATGCAAGGTAAGAAAAAAAAAGACAACACTATCCTAGACCTACACTAAGCTAAAGCTAAAATAAGTATATGAATGCACATAAGATCACATCATGATCACAACATACACAAACTTCATAACATATTAAAATTGACATATTAAAATTTCTATATTTATAAATGAATAAAATGAATAAAGATGACTACTGTGAGTAAATCGACTCTTTTTTTTATCGTGGTGTTGAACAAATCAATATCTTCATTATGTTCTAGAAATCTATATATTACTTTCACATAGCATGAAGTTCAGGGGAGAGCAGCTAGATATTTCTGTGTGAATTATTTTTCTTTGATTTTATTGAAAAATAGAAATCGGGTGTTATTACAATTTGATACTAATAAATAACAGTAATTAGGACCAAATTGATACTTAAACAGTTATAGTTGAGAAAGCATGGATCACAAGTACAGAAGACAAACTTCACTATCACAAGAACGGATTGAAATAACATGACAATACCCACTTGATTGTTATTTTCTTAAATTGAAATAATTCAAATGCATCGATTATTTCGAATCCCAAAAACAGTTACCCGCAGCGACCCCTAACAAGAATATATTTTTACACAAAAGTGCTCTAGAAATCTATTTTTCTACTATGAAACGGTATACTGGTGAATTCATGGGCACTTGCATGAACCATGAAGAAAATTTCGTTGATTCTCGTGGAACTCTCGATAATTCTTAGGAATTTCGAAAAGTTTCTCTCGAAGAACTTCGGAGTATTTCTGGCAGAAAATATCAAGGGAGTTTGAGAGATTTGAGGGAATTCCGAAAAACTAATAGATTTCGGCGAATTTCGAGGAATATTGGGATATTTCGAGATAAATCGATGAATTAGAGATGAATTTCAAAGAATTACTCAAATTTCTGGGGATTTCTGAGAATTTCGACGTCGGCGTCGTCTCTGACGCGCACCAGCAGCGGAAGTAGGACTATTCCGACGGTCTCACAGACGCCGAGGGCCCGTTTAAAGGGCCAAGAGGAGCAGTCATCGGCGGAAAAGTCTCGAAGGATATACTTCAGTATTGCTGAAATTCGGGTGCGGATGAGAAACTTGTTGGGAATAATGAGGAATTTCGGCAAATTTCAAATTATGAGGAATTTCAGAACATTTCACAAAACCGAGAAAATTTCCAGAAGATTTCGGAAAAATTTGAATGCTTCGTGGCAATCTTGAGTAATTTTGAGGAATTGTAACGAATTTCAGGGGATTTCGAGGAATTTCTGGGAAAATCAGTAAATTTTGGAGAAATTCGGCGCATCTAATGGACTTTCGGTCATTTTGGGAAATTTAGGAGAATCGCGAAGAACCTCAGAACATTTCATCAAAATCTCGATAAGATTTCGATGCAAATCGTGCGATTTCAAGATTTAAGGAAGAGAAACTTCAAGGAATTTCGAGAAGTTTCTGGGGATTTTTGATAATTCCAGACAAGCTCAGTTCTTTCTTCTGTTAATTTTGAGAAATTTCCAGGAGAGTCAGAGAATGTCACGGACAATTTGAAAATATTAAATAATTCCGAGGAATTTCGGAGAATATCGAGCCGATTCAAGGATTTTCGGCTAAATTTGAATTATCGGAAAAATGTCAGGGGATTTCGAGGAATATCAGGAAATTAAAAAAAATCGGGAAATTTGTAACAATTTCTTAAAATTTCGAGAACTTCAAGAAAATCTCGTAAATTTCGGAAATATCATGAGAAATTCGGAAAATTTTATGAACTTTCCAGGAATTTTTTGAGAAGAATTGCGAGGAATGTTACAAATCTTCGAAAATTCCGTGGAATTTCTAGAAAATCCATAGAATTTTTTCAATGATGTGGAATCTTGTAGAATTTCTCAATCTTAAGAAACTTCAGTGAATTTCGTGGAATTTCTGGAAATTCCTAATCATTTCATGTCATTTTGACGAATCTCAAAAAATGTCCAGTAAGTAATTTCTGAAAATTTCGGAAAATTCTTAGAAAAAATTCGGACAATTCCGTGGAATAGTGTCGTTTCTCATATAGGATATTTCATACCCTATACTGTTTTACCACTAACTGAACCGATTTTTCGAACGCCTCGACACGTGTTTCGCAAAATATGTTAGCATCTTCAGGAGTAGATTGAAACCGTTCCACTTTTAATCTTGTATAGTGTATTATCGTGCCAAAGGTTCCAGTCTTCGATATAGGATATTTCATTCTATAAGTATAAACTAACAAATATACAGCACCCAGGTTCAGAGGTCAACCGTAATCTTAACTATTCCACCATGAGTTTGGAAATTGCAAAAATTCCAATTAGTTCCATTTCAGCTGTTTTAACAGTGAAATGAGCTTCTGTTTTTACAAAGATTGGAAATATCCTTTACTCCTCTGAAACAGTATAGTTTCTAAAACATTTCAGGGACACCAGGAATTTTGAATATCCTCGTACTTTTTTATACTTACACAAGCAATCATCGTTAACGGTGAAACTGTCACCATTTTCTACGAAAAGCGCAGACAAGGTCTTTTGCACAGAACTCATCGTCGACCATGTCATCATCAGTCCGATGTTCTTTTGAACCTGCAAAGAAAATTCAACTCAAGAAAATTGAATGCTGTCTGAAATACAACTGAGCTTAAAATGTGATAAATAAATTCACCCCAAATTTCAAGTACAATATTCCCAAAACAATGAGTAAGTTTTCTTCTGATGATCATCATATTGATTTATCACTGATTAGCTTTATATTCTTACAATGTTTACCTTCTCAAGTTCAAATTGAGATTTATCAATTTAAATTAGAACTGAACACATCCAAATTGGTAAACAGAAAACCGATTCTAAATGATAATTACAACGATCAAATTGAAAATAATCATATTCAAATTCAGGATAATAACAGTTTCAAATTGTGAATTGACAAAATCAAGTTGATAAATACAGTCAAGATAAGATTGACCTCATTCAATTCGGGACCAAACAATTTCAAATTGAGAAACGAATTTTCAATATTGTGTCAAAATCGAAATTGATTATTATTAATCATAAAATTATCGTACCTAATATCTGAATTAATATACCTTACATAAAAAAGATGCAGATAATATTACAAATGAAATTTGTGTTTTGTTAAAAGATCAATCGTGAAGGAACATATTTCGGGCTTGTATAATCCCATCATCAGCCAATAGAAAGTATCATAGTTCTAGAAAAATCGGTATTGACTGAGAATATAGATTCACTTTTCTGTACGATTTCGAAGGAAATACCTGGAAGCTTGTGGTGATAACTGTTGGCACCAGAACGTACCCATAGCAACAGTCACTTTGAACTGACAGTAGTGGCAGTCAACGAATAAGCATTTCAAGCGTCATTTTTTTGTGAACGTAATCCTAAAAATGGACAACTCAGGAAAGTTTCAAGATCTCCCCCGGAAATAATTGATGCAAACACTAACCAATCAGCATGCAACAAACACAAATTGCACTTCCAATTTCAATATTTACCATCGTTAATATTTTAGTTATTGTGGTTTAAATGTTCTTCAAATATAAGTTTCCTATTATATCGATGAAAAACAAAATCGATTTAATTATTTTTCAGTGCATGAAATCATCGTGCGGAAAAGGTACTTTACCGCACTGATGCTGAAAAATTTATATAAGTTATAACTAAATGATCCATATGCAACTATTCTGTCTTATGTGTCATTTTGTAGCATCATTATGAAATATTGTCTATTAAATAAAAACCTTTTTTTTTCATAAATAATATAGACAAAAACACTCGTGGAAAAAAACTCCGCTCCGCGTCGTTCGTGCAACTGCCGTCGAGTGCGGAAAAGAACTACTTTCCGCACTAGTTAGGTAAATAACTATTTTTTGTATGAAGTATAGGTTACTAACATTATTTTGGCTCTCTCTATCAGCCCTATCATTCACGACCTCACCTTTCACTCTCCCCGTATACAATAAAATTCTGAAAATAGAAAACTTTCCCATTGGTTATAGTGCTCTGGCCAGTCTGGCAATGAAAACCTCAGATATTTTTTTATACAAGACATTCTCCAAAAGTCTGAACGCATTTTTCCAGAACACCTTGTACATACAGGGTGTTTCTGAATAACACCGAAAAAATCCTAGTGGTGATTCCTTGTAATATTTTAGGAAATAAAGTTCATATAAACATGTTTCCCAACTTGATTCTTTACGTACTAAATTGTCTTTCCATCAATTTAATTGAAACGCCGTAGTTTTGATGATAGTAATATATGGAGCTTCTTCTGGCGCAATTAAATTCAGTTTCATATTTTAATTAGATTGAACTACTGAAATAAGAACTTCTTTTTCCTCTGTGTAATTTTTGTATCCAGCCTAATTATTGAGGAAACAATAAAAATTCGATTCTACTTAATTTATAGGTTTCAAGACTTCCATTGAGATGACTCAATAACCCCAATTAGAATCTTTTGAAATTCTGGGACTTCCTCAGCCTCCAACCATACTGAATTTTGGCACCATGAAAACTCATTCAGGGCAGTAATAAATGAAAACAACTAATACTTCCAACTTCAACATCCTGTATCTCAAAAATCGAGCAAGTTAGGACACATGTTTGTATCAACTTTATTTGCTAGAATATCAGGATGATTCCCCTTGAATTTTTTTGGTGTTATTTAGATACACCCTGTATAAGAGAAGGAGATGAATTACAGGTAATAAAGGTAATTGGTATACCCTTCATATAGTCAATGGTTCAACAGTTCCTGGCGCTTTCACCAAATATTGAAATCCTCCAAAAATAATGCACTGAACTTAATAACGCCATTCACCACTACACAACGAATTACAATACTCGCACATCACTTTACTTCGACTGCAACCGTTCTCAATGCAACTGATAAGATCAGTTGTCAATTTGCATTTTCTGCCCTTGATCTCGCTTTCAATAATTATTATTCATTGTCCACCTTTACTTTCTTTTACCGTTAGAGTGCATACACGTTTATAACGGAACGAGATTCCGAAAAGCCTTACCCTTTCATAATAAACGCAGTTAGAATTGAATAATTCACCGTAAACTGTGATTAGAGTTTACCGTTAGCCGTTAGATGTTAGATCACGATTTGTAATGTCACTGATTTGTTTCGCAGTTTCACGTCATTCCCTCATCAGCGCACCCCAAGGGTTGAAACAAAATTGGCGTGTGCGCCAGTACGCGTACAAATATGAAAAAAAATATGATGGAGGCAGTCTTTGGGGACTGCCGATAGAAGTGAAAACCAAATACCTAACTTGTGAATTGTATCGTCGAACTATTAGATCATTATTTTCCTATACAGGGTGCAGCGAAATTCGACCGACAACGATTGATAGGTGATAGCTCTCGTGATTTGATGAAGAATGAGTCAGGAACATAAGACCGTAATATGCTTAGTTTTTGAGATACAGGGTTTTCAATAAGTTGAAAAATAAAAATTGGCTTTTCGCAATGACTCGAGAACGGCTGACTTTTTTTCATTGAAATTTGATACATGAATTATACTTCAGAATCCACGATCCCTGACGGGAAGTTATCTCAGACCATTTTTTCATTGGTGTTGCTAGGGGGTATAATTGAATTATTCTGCAAAAATACATAGGTGGCGATAGAAATTCTTGGGATTTCACGCTCGAATATTGAAATCCATTCAAATCCGAAGATAGAAGGTCCTCTTTATGGATATCAATAAAATATCACTATTAATTGTCGAGAAAAAACGGAAAATCTGACTAGCCTGCAGTTTCCTTTATTCATAATCAACCATCAACATGAAAATACATAAATATCAACAAAACATTATAATAAATGCTCAAAGTTTCGGCCATCAACTTGCTGACATATCATGCAACGTCTTCTTATTGCAAAACGCGTATTCTAAAAAAGTAATGAGTTAGTACGTATCAATTCTGCTGCAGTCTGGATTCTTGTTGTCAATTCTTCCACAGTTTCAACGATGGTTTCGTATACTGAGGATTTCATATGTCCCCACATGAAAAAGTCAATGGGATTTAGATCGGGTGATCTAGGGGGCCATATGCGAGGTTCACCCCGTCCGATTCATTTTTCACCAAATATTTCAGTTAGTCACGTTGATATTTCCTCTTCTACACGGACATTTCTTGTTGTTTCTTGTCTCCAGGCACTAGTTCTTCTGATAATTAGACTTCCTGTTTCACGAATTCTCCTCTCAATACTTGCAAAAGTTGAATGATGATGCATTCTACGATTGGGAAATCGTCCTTCATATAATCGTGATGCCATTCTACCGTTTCTTCTATAGCTTCTCCGTATAATATTAACATATCAGTCATTTCACCGTTAGAAAAATGCATAACAAGCAGAAAACCTTAATTCAATTCGAATTGTTACAATCTTTCTGCAATGACAGGTTATGTCAAAACATGATCACGTTTCAAAATCGTTAGATAATGTGATTTGATGGAAAACTGCGTCAAGTAACGATTTCCTTTTTTTCTCGAAAATGATGTATTCTATTGATTTCCATCAAGAGGACCTTTCATCTTTGGATTTAATTGATTTTCGATATTCGAACATGGAATTTCACAAACTTCTATCGGCACTCATGTATTTTTGCAAAATAATTCAATTAGGTATACCCCGTTATACCCCCTAACTACGCCAATGGAAAAATGGTCTGAGATAACTTTCCATCAGGAATTGAGGATTCTGAAATATAATTCATGAATCGAATCTGAATAGGAATTAATTATTCAGCTGTTCTTGAGTTATTGCGAAAAAACGATTTCAATCATTCAACTTCAACACCCTGTATCTCAAGAACAAAGCACATTACGGCCTTATGTTCCTGACTCATTCTTCATTGTATCACGAGAGCTATCATCTGTGAAGCGTTGTCGGTCGAATTTCGCAATACCCTGTATACTCCTTTTGTTAGAATGTATGTGATAAATTGATATTCATATACTCTTTCTCAGATCACTTGAATCTCCAAATTTTGACAAATAATGCATAATCTCTGACCCCGAAAACCACAGATAAAAATTTTGAATATAATCGGATCATAATTACAAAACTCGTCCGCCATATTGGATCTGCAATCATGAATTTTCCAATTTTGACGATGGAATCATAATCTCCGACCACAAAAACTCTCAGATACAAATTTTGAATAGGATCGTATTATAATTACAAAACTCGTCCGCCATATTGAAAATGCCATCTTGAGTTTCCTGATTTTGACGAAGGGATCTTGATCTCCGACCCCGAAAACCCCGCCCAGATAAAAAATTTTGAACAGAATTGGATCATGATCACAAAAGAAATCATAATTTCCGACCCCGAGAACCCCAGACACAAATTTTGAATAGAATCGGATAATAATTACGAAACTCGTCCGTCATATTAGTTCTGCCATTTTGAATTTTCAGATTTTGACGAGAGAATCATAATCTCCGACTCCGAAAACGCCCAATAGAGTTCGATTTTAATTACAATCCTCGCCCGCCATCTTGAAATTCCCAATTTTGACGAAAGAATCATAATAAGCTCAGACTCCGAAAACCACCAGATACCAATTTTGAATAGATTCGGATCATAATTACAAAATACTGATTGGGAGATACCCTTCAGATTTTCTGCTATTCAGTGGCTTCCATGATGTGACGATGACGCAAAATTGATGTTTT